AAGAGGACTGAGAGAAAGACTGTAGAGTCAGTTCCAGTCAAAGGCCTGACTTGTTTCATTTAACCGAATACGGGATGCCTATCGCCCGACTCGATTGCCTGAAACTGTTTTTTTGAGGCGACCGAGTCGGGTGATGGGCCTGTTCGGCCGATTGCATCCGTAGTGGGCACCCCGTATAAAGAGACTTGGCCTGTGTCTGTGGCATAACGGTTATGTCCAATGCCCATTAGCCCGATGGATTCGGTTCGGTTCGGTTCGATGTGGAAATGGAGGGGGGGGGGGGGCGCTAGCCAGACTGAGGGCTAAAAGTGACCATCGTGCCCCACACAGAACGACGCCGATGATGACCCTAAAAAACAAACGCTTTTGTCTTTCAAGATCGCAAGTCGGGCAATAGGTTTGAGATTTTTTTTATGAGAGTTTTGCGGCACTTGCAACCGTAAGGTCGTGGGTTCCAATCCCGCCAGGGTCCCGACGTTGTGTCCTTGGGAAAGGCAATTTTCACAAATTTTTCTCACTTCACGCAGGTGGAAATGGGTACCCGGCTATAGACAGTGAACGATCTTGTCAGTTTGATAGTAAAGCGCATAGAGCATGCTCTTGACCAAGTATATGCGCTATATAAATGCAATTATTATTATTATAAGTGCCAAAGGTTAGAGTGACTAACTTAGAGGTGTTACATGAGAGTGACAAACGCAGAAAAGAAGTAGGAGAGATCTGGACGATAGATAGATGTTTGATAGGAAAGACGAGGCAAACCACACCAGAGTACCCGCCAACCACCCACTGGTTTGAGTTAGAGAACCAATCCTCCAATGAACACTGGGTAAAAGGCATTTCGCAATAGCGCACAGGAGATCTTTGATGGATTCCCGATAGGGGAGAATTATCTAGGATATCGGCCTTTTTTACCGGGATGTTGTATCCTTCTCACCCTGCGTTGGGACTGACAGGCGGGGTTGGAAGCCCACCCCTCAAATAACCTCAATTGTGCCAATGGGGGCGTAAAAGCGCCAACTTTTGAAAAGAGACTGACTGGCCCCTCAGGAAGTCGAGGTCTTGCGGCCGCTCCGCGTTTTTCGTCGAGTTCCGCAATAATGCCGCAATTTTTGGCAATTTTCTCAATTTCTTGCAATTTTAGGCAAAATAACATCAACACTTTAATTTTAACGGAAATTTTAATTCGAAATGGTGCGAGTACTGGGCGTACTCTGAAAGGTATAACCGGAAATTTAGGCCGGAATAAATCGTGTACAACACAAACTGAGACATAGAGATCTAAAGTGTGTAAGAGTGTGATAAGAAAGTTATAGGTGTGTGTGTGCGTGGTGTGCATGTGTGTGCGCGTGTAAGGTGTACGTGTGTGTGAGAGAGAGAGAGAGAGAGTGTGTGTGTGTGTGTGTGTGTGTGTGTGTGTGTGTGTGTGCGCGCGTGAATATTGTTCATACATGAAGCATGTGTCTACATACACGGTAGCCGGGTACCTAGTCTCAGTATCTACGTACACGGTAACCGGAATGAAAATAAATCAATGTTTGTCCTGTGCTGTCACTTGTTGAAAAAAAAAAGAAAGTCATACATGCACAAGCGTCTTGTCGGGCTCGCCACCGTGACCGGTCAGTGAACCTGAGCTTTCGCATCACATTGTGAGTATCGGTTGGGGTCAACAAAGTTCATTCAAAGTCTGTGCGCTGCGAAGTATAGGGCTCCGGAATGGGGGGGATTATTGATTTTTTTTTTAAAGGTACAGTCGGGAGATGCTGGGGTTGAAGGCAACACCAGATAACAAAAACTGAACTTGGAGTTCTGAACTGCCCGGTTACCGTGTACGTGATGACACTGAGACTACATGCCCGGTTGCTGGTTACCGTGTACGTAGTCACTGAGGCTAGGTGCCCGGTTACCGTGTACGTGACACTGAGACTACGTCCCCATTTGCCGGTTACTGTGTACGTAGACACTGGGGCTAGGTGCCTGGTGACCGTGTATGTAGACACTCTTAAAAGGTAAAACGCCTTAAGCTGCGTTCACACGGGAGTGGTCGCTATAGAAATGATCTACATTATTATTACTATTAAATGGAGAAAAAAGATTGCTGTATTTTAAGATTTGACTTGGAGTTAAAACAATATGATACTGGTTTTAAAAAAGAAAATATCTGAAAATTTATCTAAATACAGGTTACCGGTGTATCAAAAGTATCATGTGAAAAATAGAACAGGATCTGAATTGATTGGGGCAAAAGCTAATCTTGCTTGTTCGAATCTCCCATCATTTTTTTTCTTTATTATAAACTAAACCTCATACTACACTTCTAGATCTTTGCATGAACCAAGTACCCGGTTACTAAATTTGGTTAAATGTTATGCCTTCATTTAAAAGTTATTACGAAAACCGAGGGTTCCGTTATTTTGTGTCACGTGCTATCATATTATATTTTGTCGATAACTATATTGTTAACGTACTCGTGTGTTGTTACTAGTAAATGTTGTTAATAAAATGTGTACTGTGGGTCATGAATTTTTAAAAGGCTGTGCTGCTTGTATGCTACCGGTACTCAAATTGTCATGTTTTTTAAACTAAAAATGTTAAGCCGTATTAATGCGCCTGGGATGGGAAGGTTGCAATTTTTTGCAATTTTTAGGCAGTTTACCTTGAAATTTTTTTGCAATTTTTAGGCAGTTTACCTTGAATTTTTTTGCAATTTTTCTATTTCAAAAATGCAATTTTCCACGGGGCCAGGACTGAGGAGTAACAGACCCTTTGTATGACTAGTGAGCTGATTCTATAAAAAAAAATTCTCATAGAAATGTTTATACATATTGTACATATATAACCAAAATACCATGTTAATACTATGTTTTACGTACACACATACTTTTATCAATGTATTGTGCATGGAGCATTTAATTTTTTTAGAAAATGGAAACGTGCAGCATAAATACTGTTTATTATTATTGTCCTGATGATGATGATGATGATGATGAAGATGACGATTATGATTGTTATTATTATTGTTATTGTTATTATTATTATTATTATATTATTATTATTATTATTATTATTATTATTATTATTATTATTATTACATAAACTGACGTATTGCATCACTTTTCTGTATTCAAATGCTAGTGTAATTTAAATAAAAGAGAAAGAAAACTGAGAGTGTAAATAGCCTTTTCCCAAACAGTATAACAATACCACAACTGAAAGAGTTGGGGAGCTGGCCTACCATAGAAAACTGCATCTCCCCTCGACACTCACCTGCAACAGAGGATGAAAGAGTAAAAAGTAAGTAAGTATTGAAAGGGGCTGTACGGTGTCTCTAAATTAAACACCCA